TGTTCTGATCCTATTGAAGGGCTTGTTTTCTGCGATATTATTTCGTGAATTCCGAGTTCGACATTATCCGGCTGGTTCATTTTCGCTAATGCCAAAGTTTGCGGCTCGATCTGAATTAAATTTTCGTATTCGGTTAGCGTGAGTATCGAAAATTTTCCGATTTCGGTTTTTATGGGCAACGTTAAGTTATGATCCGTCATATTAAATGCTGTGACGTAAACGATATTGTTTTTGTTAACTTCATTTATTGATGAGCTTACTGCCAATTCGCACTTTTCTTCTAGTTCTTGTGATGGAACTACGATTCCCGTCGTTCTTTCCATGTCAGTCGAAATATCTTGCAGTTGGCATTCGATTATGATTGTTTGATGAGGTGCAATCATTTGTTTCTTAGTGAGAACAAGAGGGAATTTTTTCACTCGGTTGGTGCGTCTACGTGCATTAGCGGGTTTAATTTCGTTGATTTGGAGTGACAAACCTGGAAAGTGAAGTAGATTGTATTTTGAGCAGACATGTATATGGTGTTTTTTAAAGAAAGGGTTTCCCAGGATCGTTACTTCAGTTTCAATTGACACCAGTTGGCCTCCTGCCATTCGCACTTGCTTGAGGCTTGATTTTGCTGTTTTATAGGGTGCGAATAGTGTTTTTTCGTTTTTAATTTCATCGAATGTTTGTTTCGAAATTACGTTTGCACATGCTCCTGTGTCAATCAGTACTCTTCTTTGGAGGCTTGGCGCTAATCTTATTTTCATATAAGTTAGCACTGTTCCTTCGGTTGGGATGACTGCATACAGATCAATAATTTCATCGTCTTGTACGTCTTGAATATTTGATTTGCGTGATTTTCGCGATTTACGTGATTTTTGTGATTTAGATGATTTGACTGACTGACTTTGTGGCTGAATTAGTTTTTTGGTTCCATTTGGAACGGGAAATTCTGTTGCTGCTGTCCCTGTGGCTTGGGTTTGTGCCAACATTGGCTTATGGTATGGCCAAACTTCCCGCAGTGATCACAGAACTTTGATTCAGTGCGAACTGCTGCTGTATTTGGGTTTTGGGTGTGCACCTGCTGCATCATTGGTTGTGCAGCTTGTTGTGGCTGCATAGCTATCGCTTGCTGCTGTTGATTTTGTTGACCCTGGGGGTACATCTGGTTTGGATGATATTGGGCATTCTGTTGTGTTTGAGGGTAGTTCTGGTTTTGTTGGAAGTAGGGGTTCGAATGCATTCCAGGGATCTGTTGGGGGAACTGGAACATTTGTGGGGGGTACTGCATATTTTGAAACCCGGAGAAACCTTGGTTTCCGTATCCCCCATCATTTCTCTGCTGTCCGTTCTTTTTTCCTTTACCAAATCTACCCCTTCTTTGATTGTATCCTTGTTGCCCATTCCCTTGATATCCATTCCCTTGATTAGGGCCAGAAGTATTGCCCTGATCTGAGCCATTTCTAGTTCCTTGGCTTTGTGCATTGTTTCCTTGGTTTTGTTGTTGGGCTTGATGATTATTCCCACCAGTGTTTTGGCTATTCAGTTGAGAGCTCTGCTGTGTTTCCGTTGTCACCTTGAGGTCGTGACTGGATCATTTTTCTCTGATTCGCTAGCTCACTACGGACTTCATTGAGTTGTTTCTCAATCTGTTCCTGGGCTGTTGTTAGTTTTGACAACGCACTGATTAGGTTGTGGGAAACTGTATCTCCAATTTCATTGAAACTATCTTCTGGGTAATCCTCATTACGACAGACGTCTCTTATTGTCTTGTACTGTTGTCGCAGCTGGTTGTTCCATCATCTTCGAACGGAGCCAGTTGGGCATGCCTTTTATAAAAATGCGTTTAATCTGGTTGTTCCTATGATCATTTTCTGCATCAAGTCGTTCTTGACGTTGCGCCGTCTCTCCGTGGAAGCGCGCTGCGTCTGCATCAGCTGCAGCGCCTACTAGTGCCGCATCGAGTGGGACAACGGCAGGTAGATCCGGTGTCGGGTAGGCTCGTTGTGCCTTTTTTGTGAGGTTTACCAGGAAATTCTCTGGTGAGTCTCGCTTGATATCAAACTTTGATTGTTCAAGTTTTAGCACGTGGACCTCTTGCAATTGAGGGTTGCAAAAATGGTCGCGTAGTGCCGCTAGACTAAGAGGTACGTCGACTCTTGTTAGTGCTGGCAGTGTTTGGTAGAATCGCAGAGCGCTATCTCGCAGGTGCAACTGTAGAAAATTCGCTTGCTGAGCATTTGCGATTCCCGCAACTCCAACGTATCCTTGGAAGAGCTGTTCGAATTGGGCGAAATCTTCGTTATCGCTTCCGCCAAATGGTTCGACTGAGATTTGAGCGTGCGCCATCTTATCACAGTTATATGATTGTCAAGTCTGATTCAAAATTGATTTCAGATGAATCAGTTGCTATTATATAGTGGAAACAATTAATGCCTAGAGGGTACTTAAAATTTAATGACGTAATTATCGTCTTTGAGAAAATATATAGAGTAGCTCGTACTATGATTAGTTACGAGTAGGAGTTAATTAACTCTTGTTTCTATATTTTAAACTATCTACCTTTTAAGTTAACTTGTCTTGCGGCTTTAATATTATTCCACTATATTTTTTTTGAAATTTGGTTAGGATTTAAGCACTGGATAGGTTTTCAGGCGGTTCTCATGGATGATTTCAAATGACTAGTTTCAAATGAGCACTCATCAATTTTACTTTAAGCACCGAGAGTTTTAAGTTTCAACTAACTGTTTTTGTACACTGTATCGCTTTCCTGGAGAAGTGTAGTAGTTGTCATCAACACAAAACAGTTGAAGTTTCCTTTTGCCCCTTGCTGTTGTCTCTCACTGGCTGAAGTCAGTTTTTGTTTTTGCCCCTCTTTTTTGCTGTTTGAGCAAGTTACTGCCGTGATCTTCTTTTCAGCTTTGTGGCTTTTGGAGTCGTCTTGTGTTGGATGTCGTCTTGTTTTCACTCTTAATTTGCAATCAGCTTCAGCTTGTCTTGAAAGGTTGGTAACATCATCCCACTCATAGTCGCCATGTTATATTGCGTGTCTTGCTATGATAATTAATGATTGGACATGAGGAATTGTGTTCTAGAGTAATAAAGGGATGCGCGGTCTAGGCTCAATATCTTCGACTCAGGGATGTGCTTCGTGATGTCTACCCCCTTCTCTAGAGTCTAAGCTGTTTTGAGTTATAAGAGTGAGGATTGATCTTTTAATTACTATCTTTTCGCTGCTTTACTGTAATGGCTCTCTCTCAATTAATGATTCAATTACATTATAATTGATTGTTTGCATTAAGTAAATATTGGTTTAATACTTTGTCATTGACATATAATGGCATTGATATTTAAGTCTAATTCGCACCAATTATTGTAATTAATAATGAATAACTAACATAGGCGTGAAGCACTATGTGACAGCCATCGTTAACTATCGTCTTGCGCTTCTCGAAACAGCCTTCGCAGTCAATGCATAGGGCCCGACAGTGTTGACGCAGGTACTCCTCGTAATACCCGGCACGGACTTCTTGCTTCAGTCGGTGATAGCCACCTCGATGGCTCAACGTGACCTCTTGAACCTCTTACAAGGTCAAATAAACTTCCCGGTTGCGTAAAACGATCTTGCCGACCTACTTAATTTTTTCCCACCGCAACGTAAACTTGGAAACTTTCTGGTGGAAAGCTTCCCGCCGCGCCTCATTTAAACGACTATTGTGGCATGCAAAGATTTATTTATACGCTCTACAGTCCATATTGGTAAATATGACTGAAGGGAGCACGATAGTGGAGCTAATGAGTAGTACGTACCTGGTAGTAGTACGTAATGAGTAGTACGTTTAGTCAACAAGATACTGTATGTTCAATCATTCATTTTAGTAGGAGACTAGTGGCATAGTATTATTTCAGTTTTGAAGGTAGACTTTGTGCAGATCAATTGATGTCTTTATATACCTTTTTGAGCAGTGATTTAGTTATTTATAAGGCTGATAGCATGTATAGAACAAATTATGGTTAAAGTCTTATCAGATTTGTAGAACATTTCCGCTAGCTTATGTTTTCTTATCTAAAAATTTCTATGATGGTCACTTTTCCCCAAAATTCAAAAAAAAACAGCCAAAAACATTTTGATTTTGTTTCTATACCGTTTTCGTTTTTTTTCAAATTCATGATTGTAAAAAATTTTAGATTAAGTTATGCATTTCGAACAAAAAACTTCTGAAACAACAAATTTGAATGTTTTTCAATGAATCTCTAAATTATACTTAATTAGCGGTTTGAAATAATTTTGGAGACAATAACAATTCAACTTTGACGAATCATGTGATATAGCTGCAGACGTGTTGTTTGTGGGGTTCAGATATATATCGACAAAATTTCTAGTTATCCGCAAAAACTAACTGTACAAAGTTAGTTGGTTTTTCAGGAAACTCATGTCATACTCGGCGTCAGCGGAGAACTTATAAAATGGTTTTAAGAAATATTTTTGAAACAAACATTGAAAAATAGGAAAAAAAAATTTTAAGAATAGTTCCAATCTTACTATTTTCTTGCCAAAGCCCTAATCAAGCATCAAAGCCCATGGTATAATAAAATACTATAAACTCTGAGGGGGAGGGAAGCCTAAAAGGATTGTTGCTTCAAAAATTCGCCTGCGGCATAGAAAATATGGTTAAACGAGTGTCTCTATGATGATTTGGGAGAGCTCAGAAAATCAATTTGGACAACCTATAAAACAAACAATGCGGACAAAACTTTCGGAAAATTTTCAAAAATGAGTAAGCGTTGCTAACCAAAAAGACTCTAATTTGTCACACTCACAAAATGACAGGACCGAATTCGCTAACAAATTCTCTAAAGCTAAAACTGAGAAAACAATTCTTTTAATGATTTATTTATCGTTTTGTCTTCCAAATTTGTGATTAGGAGTATTTTTTACTTTTTTAGGACTAGGATCATTTTTACACTTTTTAGTCTTTTTGTAATTTGATATAACAGCTAATCACTCCACTCACCCGGTGTGTTGACAATCTCTTTGGCCAACTGGAGTTCCTTCTCAGACTTGAACAGCCAAATGGGACTCAACACTTGTTTGAAGTAGCTGTATCTCTCCCCAAACGAAGAAGACATCCCAACACAGCCCAACAGATCAGATCAAATAGAGGCACTCAAATCACACAAGTAGACTGGATAACAGCGTCCAGTTGAAGCCCTGGATTGTTGGTTGCTACGAGAAACACTTTTACATCGAAAACTGTCAGATTCAAATGGAGTCAGTTTGATCAAAGTGGTATTCTCTGTCAACTCATTATTCTCAATTACATCTGAAATAGGAAAAAAGGTCAGACAAAGAAAAAGTTTATAAGTATTAGTCAACATACACAATCCTGTTGCAAGCGAGAAGGAAACAGTGACAAAACTCAACATTAACCAAGTAGAGCTATAATTTTATCATGCATGCTGCTTTTAATGCATTACTTGTTCAAATAAGAGTTTCGATTGTTATTTAAGCACTGATGGAGTGGATCAGCTGCTAGATTTATCTAGTTTCACTTCCAATTCTTTCGATTCAATTTTTTTCTGTTCCAGACAATTTCAAGTCTAGTCAGAACTCAAATTGCAGCTGGAAATGTTTAGCATTTTGGCCTAACTTATGCTCAGAGTGAGTCACATGTTTTGAGAACTCAAACTACAGTCGATCAATTATAAGAAGAGCATCGTTGATAACAGTGTTATTATTGCATTGTTTTGACCACGTATAAATCGAATATGTGACACGTTTAAGTGTACAAATATCCAGAGTCATCCAAACTTTCTAAAACATGTCACACATTTTTTAACAGACAAGTGAAGCTTTTTTTTTCACGAGAACACGAGTTGTGGAACGATTCCAGGGGGAACCCAAAACTATCAAAAGAGGGACTAATCTTATATCAGACGGTCCGAATATCGGAGAAGTTTCAAAGAATAAGCAAGCCCTAAATTGCCCAAAACCATCTTTTTCATTTGTCATGTATTTCTTTCAACTTTTTAAACATTGAACATTATTTGAATTCTGAAACTTTCAGAAACTGAATTTTAGTGAGGACCAAATATATGGAAAACTCTATATTTTTGAATAGTGAATTCTGATCAGCTAAAACGACTTTGAGTCGTTGGGATCTTGTGTGAAGAAGATTATCTCCCCCAGAGAAAGAATTGGGAGATTGCAGGAGAGAGAGAGGCTGGCTCTTTTTCCTTTTTCCCCCACCTCCTACAAACATGAATTTTATGGTCTAACAAGTGGTTTTACAAGGTTAATTATGAAGACCAAATATGTTTGTTATGGTCTAATTAGTCTGCATGTCATTTTTCATGACAATCGGACAAAGTGAACATTAATTTCAAAATGAAAAATTTGCAGGTGGGGGGAAAAGGAAAAAGAGCCGAGAGGCTAAGAGGAGGAGAAGGATGATAAAGAGCAAGCGGCCGGTGCCCCTGCACCCATTCATTCTGACTCCCCCCTCGCACAGCCAGTGTGTGTCTCTACACGAGATGTTCTGTCCAATCACGAAACAGCTCAAAGTGGCCTGTTTCTGCTTCACATGTCTACTCAAAAGGGCCATGATGAAAGTACATACATTACATTACATTACATTACATTACATTACATTACATTACTCAACTTTGAGGGCATAATTCGTATGCTGCTGATAACAGGCCATAAAACCCAACCCGGTACTACTTTGATAGAGTGGTCCCTCGAAAAAGCAACTATGATAGACTGGCCCCGCATGCATTTCGCATGTTATAATATTGACAACTGATTTGTGTATAAATTATTCATTTCAAAAATCTGGCGAAAGATGTTGAATCAGAAACCTTTCAGATTAAAAATTTTAATTAAGATAATTTTTATATCGAGAAATATGCTCGCTTCAACTTATTTTAGGATTTAACAACCATAATTGGATTGGCTCATTTGTCATCAAAATTCGATTTGGGCATTTTTTTTTAATTTTTGACCTTAAAATGCTGAGGGGGGAGGTTTTATTAAACGAAAAAAATTAAGATTTGTTTGAAAATATACTGCGACATATCTTTCTGAACGGCGAGATCATAATTGTTAAACATTTGAGAGCCATGTGTGTCTTATTCGCAAGGGACCTGGTTATTTTCAAGGGACCACGCTGTCATAGTAGAAACCTCCAACCCCCCCCCCCCCCGCTATTAACAACAATAAAAGCAACGGGTGCAAGTCAATAACCAGACAGGTGATAAAAGAGCCAGAAAAAAATCGGGTAAACATTAGAGTGCCAAAAAGCCAGTCGCATAAAAAGCCAAAAAACCGCATGCATAAATTATAGACGGGCGTGAATATTACTACCAACCCCCCTCCCCAAACTCCGCCAGCCTACTCTAGACATCACAAAGTATGTGAACCATTCATGAGTTGGAAAAGAAAAGACGCAACACAGACCAGGTAAGACAAGGAACAGCACCAGAGCAAACAGTCATACTATGAAAATAAGGCTATAGGAATGTTTCACGATATGGGGATATTTCGATAAGGACAGTTTTAGGGATCTACAGAGCTATGGCACTATCTTAAGCGGTCGCTTTGATGAAATTAACAAGAGAGTCGGAAGAGGTTAGCCGGGTGGAAAATAAGTTAAACGATATACCAACGTCGCCAAGATTGGAATAAAACATGGTATAATCATTGAAAAGGACTTCGAGTTCACTCAATTATTTTTGAAACTGATTATGTCAAGTGTAAAATTCGTGTACTTTACTCTGTACACGGAAAAACTCAGCTCAATATTTCTCGACACCGAATCATGTTTCAATTTTTTTTGGAGTGTGACCCTGAGCTTTTCCGGAGTTAGGCCAATTTGGGCAGAAAAAACAACCTACACCACAATTTCTCCCAGTAACTTCGTGACGTGCTCGGAACGAAAATAGCGACTTTCCTAAAAAAATTATACGTCACAAGCATGTTTTTATCTAGAAAAATTGACTCAGTTCGATAACGCATTTCAATGACAAGTTTTTCAACTTTTTCTGTCGGTCATAAACACTGCCACATTTTTAAATAATCCACAGCAAAACTAAATTTCTTCAAGAATATATAAAGTGTAGATAGTCAGATAGTTATTTCAGAAGGTGTTATTTTACTTGAATATCTGAAAAGAATAATGTGGCACAAATGGCACGGCAGGAATATAGTTAAATTACAGGCTGCCCAGATTTCAAATAGGTTATGTAATAAAAGATTTAGTTATACTAGAATTATACTCATTATGAGCTTTTGTTTAACTGGTCGCCCAAATTTATTGAAACAGATAAAAACGCCACGAAAAGAGAGGTGTCTGTGTTATTTTGCAAACTATACTCATTGCGGCATGTTTGTTCGAGTTTCGAGGAAGGTAACAGAACATTTTGGCTCGGGGTGGTTTTTTATTCATACCAATTTCGGCAGTCGAAATGATAGCGTTGAACGGAAATTTTATACTCCAAAGAACTCCATAGAATATATCGATTCCCTGAATTCGATTTAAATCATTTCACTGCAATAGTTTTTTGCAAAGTTTTTAGGGGTTTGAAAATTGCCGATTTAGTCATGTTCTGAACTAGTTTATACACTATGCTTATGCGCGCTTTTCAGAATTTATTTACAGTCACAGAGCAGAAGTAATCGACGGCAAAATTTTAAAACTTTGATAACGGTTCACTCGAATTGGGGGCATTGAGACAAAAACTGTTTATGATAAAAAAATCCCTGAAATTTCACTACAATTTTCCTTTTATAAATTTTTTGGTCGTTTTGGGCCCACATTTAGTTTGATATTAGTGCATCGATATTTTTGATATTATTGCATCGAAGGGCCTATCAAAAGGGTACCTTGCAAAAATGTTGGTTAAGATAAGCTAAATCAACTCCGTACCAAAAAAAAATAACACATTAGAATTAAAATTGGATGATGGGGGAGGGTCTGCTATAAAATAATCAGCAGGAAACATACTGTTTTCAGGAACAGATCACGACAACATCAGACTTGATTCTCATGCAAGAAAATTGTGTTGTCCTACAATTTAAAACCAGACAATTTAACACGTTACATTTTACTACCTAGTTATTCCCCTACTAAAAAACTTTGAACCCTTAACAATTCAACTCCTACTTTATAACAGGAGTTGTAATATAACACTCCATAGAATATATCGATTCCCTGAATTCGATTTAAATCATTTCACTGCAATAGTTTTTTGCAAAGTTTTTAGGGGTTTGAAAATTGCCGATTTAGTCATGTTCTGAACTAGTTTATACACTATGCTTATGCGCGCTTTTCAGAATTTATTTACAGTCACAGAGCAGAAGTAATCGACGGCAAAATTTTAAAACTTTGATAACGGTTCACTCGAATTGGGGGCATTGAGACAAAAACTGTTTATGATAAAAAAAAATCCCTGAAATTTCACTAAAATTTTCCTGTTATAAATTTTTTGGTCGTTTTGGGCCCACATTTAGTTTGATATTAGTGCATCGATATTTTTGATATTATTGCATCGAAGGGCTTATCAAAAGGGTACCTTGCAAAAATGTTGGTTAAGGTAAGCTAAATCAACTCCGTACCAAAAAAAAATAAAACATTAGAATTAAAATTGGATGATGGGGGAGGGGTTGCTATAAAATAATCAGCAGGAAACATACTGTTTTCAGGAACAGATCACGACAACATCAGACTTGATTCTCATGCAAGAAAATTGTGTTGTCCTACAATTTAAAACCAGACAATTTAACACGTTACATTTTACTACCTAGTTATTCCCCTACTAAAAAACTTTGAACCCTTAACAATTCAACTCCTACTTTATAACAGCACCAAAATTGATGCTGTAGGAACTCCTTATGTTTCCTCCAATCACACTAACAAGCCTTAAAAAAGCTGCCTTCTCTGCATTTAAAAAAAAGGAAAAATATCGGCGAGTCCTATGACATTAATGTTCTGGAAATTCAGTATGTATACTACGGAAAATGCAGAAAACCCAAAAAATTAACGAGTTGTGTTTGTACTTCGGCTCCACTTATATAAAAAGCATGGTGCCAAACAGTGAAGTCTTATTCCAACCCTCCCTTTGAAACAAGCGGTTGCAGCCGTGAGTGGAACTGCTAGGACAAATAATGCTGTCCAAAGATGGTATTTCGGCATCAAACCTTATTTCAGCGAGCGAAGCCCACTTTAACAAAAGGAAAGTAGTGGGAAGCCTGCTAAAAAAGCCTCCGTACAAAAATCAAAATTTTCGATGCAATGAGTGGCCATAAAATTACGAAGAAAAAAAAACCGCGTATTAAATGGAAGAGTCCAAAACATTATTTCCCGTTATGAAGACAAAACCTGATTTGTACTTGTTCAGAGCATTATTAAGTATAAAACTTTTGTTGGATTCAATGGTCTTATGCAATTCAAACTTTAATCCTAATTAAAAATGATTCAGCTTTTGTTGAGAAGACGTTTCCTTGCAGACTCACGGAAAACGTAACTAAACGCGAGACTGAATCATGCACTAGCAATTTAGTCACAGGACAATCGCCCCTCTTTTTGGGACGCTAGATTGCGACTAGGGAATGGCGAACCCTCGAGGTTATCGTTTATAAGACAACAATTCAAAAAAGCAGAACAAAGCGAACGGGTTACAAGCTCAATTTCGGTATGATTCTTGAATTGCTTAATTTTAAGGTTTTGGTATTGGTTAAACCTTTCATAAATCACTGTACCGGCTGAAAATGTCTGGAAAACTACGCCATTTTTTGTCGAAGAACGTTTAATTAATTGCGGGCCTTCGAAGTTCATTGAAAGATTGCTTGTTTTTTATTCGAATCATTTTGTCAATCCGAATGATTGGCAAGGTCATTTGATTTCAGAATTTACGCAAAATAAGTAGCGCGAAAATAACTCGCTATAAATGGCAAAAATTTTTCTCGCTTTATTCCTCGATATTTAAGGAAGTCCCCAATGAAGTAAGTTTTCTTTAAATTTTGGATTGAAAGGGTGTTAAGATATGAAGAAATACTTTTAAGAAGAAGTGGCTATATAATTGCTAAGGCAACGAGAAGAAGGGAGTGAAATTGAATGGTGTTAATTTGTTAAAAGTTACAGAGGTGTGAACCAAAAACTTACACCTTAGTTCATTTGAAAATTCAACGAGTGATGTTTTTCTGTTGTAATAAGCTAAAAGAACTGCCACCATCTCTGAGGCGTTAAAAAAACTAAAGATTTTGATAAGATTATACGCGCCATTAACAGCTTATGCCAAAAAAACGTAATTGGACACTTGCTTAATGGTTCCCAAAATACAGTTTTTTGGCTATTAAAACGCTCAGTTAATCCACTGAATCTCAACTTTCCAATTCCTTCTTCAAAAAAAAATCGTTACGAAAGACTTTGGAAATTGTTTCAAACCTGATCATATTTGTCCTCATAAATCATAACGTCGTTCCTGAAAAAAATACAGAGACAAACTTCAAATTATCTTGTAAGCTAAATTTTTTCCGCGAAAAAAAATGTACTAACCAAAAAACGAACGGTTTCTTTCGACTGCAATCCTGTAGCCGGTCTTTGACGCAGTTGCTGGTTTTGATTCCACAAAAAAAATGATGCAGATTTCCAATAGAGCCCGAGTTCGAATTGATTCACGTGGAACACCTTGGCCCTAGGTTATCCACAACAATTGTATGCTAATTGATTGTTTGCACCTTTCTCGAAAGAGTAGATAGGAGCAATGGATTAGGGTGGATTGTTCCGGCTGAAGCTATTTGGGGAATCAAATCATGAATTTTGCGAGGGGCGGGTTTCAGGGGCGGATTGAGGAGGGGTTGTGTCCGCCCAGCCCGATCCTCAATTCCCCCTGATTGAATCCAATGATAGGATCAGTTACTTTGACAAATTTCGTTTATTGAGATATTTAGCAGTTTGATCAGACAATAAGAGGTCGACAACTTTTGAATGTGCTTCTTTAACTGACCTAAGCCCCGATAATCTAGAGCGCTACAGGATTCCCCTATTTATGGTGTGGAGTTCCTTTTTAACAAGCAGAGAAACGTTTGACCAGTAATGAGAGTTTTCTGCAGGGCAACGTGAAGATCAGTGACGAGATGATGGGGAAGAGGGAAGATTACTGCAGATGCTGCAAGTGTGTTGAGAGATACAGACAGGAGGGCACATTGTCCTACATACAGGACAACGAATTCAGAGACCCAACTAACCCACAACATCCCCAACATTCAAGGTGAGGTACTACAGGGAGGGGGGAGGGGGGTTTGCACGAGGTGACTCTCTATGCAGTCACCGAATAAGCTATAAAAAAAGAGAAGCTCTCATTCAGGGCAATGAAAGTTTCAATAGATTTCAATGCGACTCAGATTGGTGAACATGATGAAGCTAAAATGGCAGACGTATGAACAAACAACCATCGAGTCGTTTCATATTCTTATTCTGATCACCTTTGTTATCTGTCTACGTGAAAAATGATATTATCCCCTAACAATATTGTAAAGAAAAAAAAACCAGGAGATTTGGAGATAAATTTTACGTTTGTTCACAATTTGCACATTTCGTTTCAGTCAGATGTCTCACCGGCACCACAGAAGCACAGGGGGAAGGGGCGGTGATGGGGGTTCGAGGGGGGAGGAGTACTACAGCTACTATGGGGGGTTCGATGAGGAGCACCAGTTCCTGACCCCCAACAGCAGACTCTACTACGGGGGCAGCCAGGTACACACACTCTCCCTGTTTAGGTTACAAACACCAGACAGTTTAAGCTCAACAAACAATCTCCCCACATGCGACTTGTACGACTAGCAATTTTTCTACGGAAGATACGACATTCAGACACCATAGCACTGCCATTAAAACAAATCCCCGTTTGAGGGTTTGGTTTTCGCTGAAACGGACGACCCAGAAACCTCGACAGACCCAGTTACTACACATGGGGTACCCTTCTAACCAGAGGCACCCAGAGAAGAGGAGGCTGCAGGATGGGTGGGACTTGGAGAGACAAAGAGTGTAAGACTAAAGAAGGACTAGTACAGCATGAAAGGCGAATACATAAAGAGAACAAATAAAGAAACTCGAGAGCATTGAATGTGGGGGTTTTCCGGGTGAAACATAATTTAAGGAATCACAGCAAGAGTATTAGGGGAGGGCACGGGTACCACGTGAGCCTTCGTCTGACCGAGGCTGTTTAGATGTTAACCTCGTTCTTGTTTTAAATAGTCAGCCTAATAGAATTGTGTACTTCGACAAGAAGCTTTGTCAACTTCCAATCCAAACTCAGGGTTGGAAAAAAATCCGATTTATTTTTAAAAAATCAATTTAATCGGATTATTTTGATTATTACCAAGATTTTTTTGATTATTGTGATTTGGCTTTTAATCAACGAGAGAAGCGACACAAAATCAATTTCTAACAGAGAAAAGCATACATGAAATTCTAATTCATGATGATCACTGGATCTGAAAACAATTGGCACAATTATCAAAGCCAAAATAGCGGCTTAAACGTTTTGGCGGGAAATTTTGCGACTAAGCAAGAACACACACGTGGCCTCTATTTGAACAAAGCCTTTGATATACCGCCTCTTCATTTTAATCGTGATGTTTTTGCTATTTTAATCGTGATTATTATCTTGATCATAATCAATTGATTATAATTATGCCAACCCTGTCCAAACTAAACTGTCCGATCTTTCCATCAATCCATTGATCCTTTGTCCGATCTTTAGATTTTTAAAAACTGTCCGATCAATCCAATTGAATCTTTGGTCAATCTTTGATCAAATTTGGGGTCAAAACTTTAACTTGCCCTGCTCTTCTAAGAAGTTAATCTTAATACTACAGAACTTCTAGGTGAAACAGCTTAAAAGAAAGATTTTCTTGATAATTAATTTAAAAAAAAAACAAACATCTAGGCAACAAAAATGAAAAACAAGATCTTTTGATGATTCAATTTTTTTTCATGATCCACATTTTGAAATGGGCACTTCCGTTTAGTTACGTAAGTGCACAAGCTGGATAGGGCCATACCAGTGTTATAAAAATGCATATATATCAGCAATGAAGTCATAAATCAGCATTAAATGCATCGTCGTAAAATTGATTTATCTTAGCCGTCCATCCTCTACAATAGCGCTTATGGAGTTGTCGATAATTTGAACTTTACGCAGCGCTCTGCACCCCCTTGTACAAAGTATAGAGCTCCTCAGGAGCGCGAAGCTTATTTTAGTTCTTATGTAGTTTATAGATTCTGAATAACTTTCTTGTCTTTTTTCACTTAGTTTTTCGGCTAATCGCTGCATCGTCCGCGTCCACCACCGGTGCATCCGAAAATTGGCGGGCAGAAGCTACTCTGCTCTACGTTTAAAATTCTTCGCTGATATTTGGAGTTCTTCAGCGTTTCGTGATATTTGTATGCGTCTTTATGCAGTTTCCGCGATGTTTTGGCATGGGGGTTGAAAATTTTCACATCAAAGAAAGCGCGGCTGAATCGTGAACATCAGAGTCCGTTTGCCTTAATGTCAACTCGTGCCTCACCTTCAGTTGTAGTTGAATTGTTGACAAAGCTTTCCACTTGCAACGGCTGAAGTTTCGGCTCAATCTCGACGTCATGGCAAACCTCGTTCATGAGGTTGGCGAATGTGTCTCTAATTTCATTATGTCTTATGTGTGTAACCACCCTTTGCACAGTGTAGCGCTTGTGTCAAGTTAAAATTAGCACCACATGCACATTTGAGTAGGGTTTTGGTCGGTTCCCATCCGTATCTTAAGTAAATACCATATCTGAATTCTGATTTATTCAGGTTGAAATTGTATCTGCTCAGTGGTAAATTTTTAAGTTACTAACTTATTAAAAGCTTCAGATGAAATGACGCAAACCTGAAAGATAACAGTCACGAGATGACGACGCAATAGCAACTCGACAACTCGGTCATTAAACTCAGGACGCGATCAACGCAACCACAGGCAACACTTGGTGACAGTCCTGTGCTAACTCCCTGTCGTTTGCGTCCGCAGGAGAGTAGATGTGACAAAGATGACGTCAGAAACCGCCCAGTCGGCCAAACAAAAACCTTGTATGAACAATGACTACTATCCAACAGTGCCGCAGTTGATGGCAATGCAACATCAGCTTACTTCATTCCTTGCAAGTATCACTAAATGAAATGTCATTTGCTTATTTTGAAAGAGCTTGACGCAGCCAAATTTTCTCAACCAACGCAATTCTCAAAATTAGAAGAGAAACAACGCAATTCTGACCTAAATGCCTTTAGAATTGAGGGACTTTCAGAGACCACTGGCAGAGTAGACTAGCAAAAAGAGGCTGATAAAAATGAGGTGGTGAAAGTTACGAGGTACCTGGGAGCTGATTGCAATTAAAAGAAAGTTTTCGACTTGGAAAACATAAAGAAGGGTACACACACGACTTGTTCTTGTATCAGCTGCGAACACATGGACTCAAGACTAATATCAAAAATGCAGTTGTATGAAAAGCATCTATTTTTCAGTGCAGACCTCTCAACAGATGAACTGAAAACTGAAAGGTTTGCATTGGCTAAACGACGCAAGCTGATTAATGAAGGTACGTCACCCAGACACTTGCGAATACGGCATCAAAAACTACTTCCGAAAAAACACAAGGATTGGACAAACATAAACAGTCAATGACTAACAAAAGTGAAGTCACCAATGTACATGTTCATAAACATCAGGTCTCTCAAAAATTTTATCAACACAAAACTCATATTGTGAAACTAAACTGAGACGACGGTTGCCTACAAAATACTCGCTGTGGTGTAAACTATCTTGTCTTAAAATTATCAGTAAAATACAACCGATAAAGCAATCTTTCTAATTAATAATTTTAAAAATCTTTTGGTAATTGACTTTAAAAACAAAGGTCTTCTAGGTAAATAAAATTTAGAATAAAGATTTTCTACCTGCTTAATTTTAAAAAAGAAAATAATTGAGATGAAAATCATGATCTTCTAAACAATAAAAGTTATAAATGAAGACCTTCTAGGTAGTGTAAACTATCTTTGCTTTATCGGTTGTATTTTACTGATAATTTTAAGACAAGATAGTTTACTTTACAGTGAGTATTTTGTAGGCAACCGTTGTCTAAGTTTAGTTTCACAATATGAGTTTTGTGTTGATAAAATACTGGAAAGAATATGATTTGAATCGGGTGAAATGGCAGCAAACAGTTTTTCATCTTCAGCAACAACTTGAAATTTAGAATAAAGATTTTCTACCTACTTAATTTTAAAAAAAATAATTAACATGAAAATCATGATCTTCTAAGCAATAAAAGCTATAAATGAAGACCTTCTAGGCAATAAAATATGAAAATTAATATCTTCTTGTAATTAGATTTTAAAACAAAAATGTTACGGGAGAGCAAATTTTACAAAGTAAGTCACAGTCAGACATCAGGAGAGACAGACAACATGGAAAGGCAACAAAGATGTCAGGCAACTGGAACAACTTTGAATGGCTGTAAACAAATGCAATCATGGTATTGAGTGCGTGGCTCATGAAAATACACACCCACTAATTAAAACACGTGCTACCTTTCAAGTCGGAATACATGAGAATAAAAACCCAAGACCGTTTAAAAAAAAACGACAGCAGCTTGTTATAAACTAGAGGAGGGTTAAACGAAAAAAAAAAAACAACAACAATGGAGAGGCGGACAGTGAGAGCTTTGTATCTATCGCCCTTGTCCGGAGGATGTTGCAAAGTGTGGACAGAACCACGTCTGCAGAACTACACTGGTGCTCTGATGCAAAAAGACGCTCAAAACAGCTATGCCAAGTATTTTTTTGGAATCAACTAGAAAAAACTCGAAATAGAACAAGCAATTCTCAAGAGGGATATGTCAAGGTCTTTCCTTTGGGAATGGGATGGACTCATGCAACATCCGAAAGACCCAGCACTCCATGGGAAACGAACGAAACCATGAAGAGTATCGACTAAATAGGATAAACGGAGGGGAAAATACAAGGAAAACGAAACAAGTAATTCATACAAAACAAAGTAACTGAAGACTTATTAGAACAAATCCAAACTACACAAACTTGAAGCAATTATTCTGTCTTTGTATTTTGATTATAATTCCTCATTCAAATTTTAAGCTTTAAAATTTTTGATGTTGAGATCTTCGATCAGAGCATAATCCACTCAAATTTACACTCAGAAACAGTTTCTATAGTTGTCTATAGTTCTAGTTGCCTATTTTAACGTAAGCTACCAGTGGGCTCTGATTCGCAGTTGCGGCCGCCTCTAATGTATTGTACGGTCTATGACTCGAAAGCGTTTAACCATCATTAGAAGTTGTTGGCATTAAAACAACACAAAACTAAGTCTAATTTCCTGACGTTGCCTGATCAGAGCCACTTCAACGTAAGCATCAAAACAATGAGTGATACATGTACACAGAGTGCACTCTTTGTAAGTGTAATTCTCTATCTGTCTTTTTGTGAGAGTGTAGTGTGTGTGTGTGTTGCAGTTGTCGTCCACTGACTCCGAGTTCTACCGTGAAGGGGAAGGAGAGGGGGAGGAGAGTGTGTTTGGGGAGATACAGCAGCCATACAAGGAAGATGGGGAGGACGAAGACGACAACGAAGAGGATTCACGGTCAGCATCTCTTAGAGCATCGCTCAAATTACAACACATGTTCTCATGACAGTTAAAAAGATATAGAAGGAACATTATCACCCCCACATTTTAGATACCACACTACTTAAAGGCTGAAATGCACCAAGTATCTACTTTTTTTAAGTTGTATGCGGCATTATTATATATCAAGTATTTCCTTTTAGTTGTAGAACAGAATATTGAATTTAACATTTGAAGACAGTTGATAAAAACGAAGCACAGAAGGATACCCTGGTCAAGAACGAACACGCACCAAGAAGTGGAAGTTATCAAAGAGAGTTTGATGTTGAATCCGTTGATTCTGGTTACTGGTTACTCTACTCGTGCATTTTAGAGGGCGGAAGAAGTCGACTGTCGGTGGCTTGAAGAGCAGCAAAAAGAACAAGTCCAGATCCACTCTCAACACGAACACGAAGAAGACGAACAAGAGAGACACTAGAGAAACTTCGAGGTCAGGGATGAGCATCCATACAGATGCGAAAAAAAATAAGTCGAAAAAACGAAAGACATTGAAAACGCTAGGGGAACACGAAAAAGGTCGGGGATGAACATCCATACAGAGGCGAAGCGGAGCTTCGCACTACTTGCGATACAACACAATCATTGAAAAAAGTCGAGAAAAAAAAACGAAACATATTGAAAACACTAGGTGAACCGAAGTTTTCGTATGTCTCAATGAAGCTGAAGCTACGATTTTGATACTTTTTTGAATTTGTTACTCTGATGCGGGACGAAATGCGTAATTTCAAAAATTGTACTTTGCCCAAAACCTTAGTTGTTTCGCTACTAAAATAAGTGAGAAGAGTGAAAATTTTTGAGATTTTGAGTTTTCCATAACAAAAAAACAAGACTGCTCGTATCAGGGCGAAGCCCTGAATGTTCCGACTGCCTTTAAAGGTTCATGGAGCAGTAATAACATAAAAAAAACTAAATCTAATCAAATAAAATGAATTTTATACAAAAATCATCCCCACACGCCATTTAAATTACAAAAGGATAAATTTTGCTCCTTGTAACAAATCAATTATGGCAAATAAGCTTCATTCAACCAATTTGTAACGATTTTAAAGACGGATTAAATCTCCGTTTACGCGTTAAAAGCGCGAAATATATCGCGCGTTAATTGTCCCAAATTGGCCATAATGGCAATCTTTAAACCCCCATAACTTTACAAAAAATGATCACAGGTTTGATATCTTTTCAAATTTGAGATCAGGACATCAATACCTTTCGAATGATATAAAAAGATTCCTTCAAAAATGGCTAGTTAATAAGTCTAAATTTGTCTGAAGAAAAAAAAACCCTTCCCGAGCACAAATAGTCCGTTACTTTCGTACCGAAAGTCGGAACAATAACTTAATCTCCCATATAATGAAACCCACAAGTTGAGTAGAAAGAATGTGAGAATCGCTACTTAAGATAAAATAATGAATTTCACACATAGTTATAAAAAACAAGACCGCTCGTATCAGGGCGAAGCCCTGAATGTTCCGACTGCCTTTTAAGGTTCATGGAGAAGTAATAACATAAAAAAAACTAAATCTAATAAAATAAAATGATATTTATACGAAAATCATCCCCCACACGCCATTTAAAGTACAAAAGGATAAATTTAGCTCCTTGTAACAAATCAATTATGGCAAATAAGCTTCATTCAACCAATTTGGAACGATTTATAAGACGGATTAAATCTCCGCTTACGCGTTAAAAGCGCGAAATATATCGCGCGTTAATTGTCCCAAATTGGCCATAATGGCAATCTTTAAACCCCCATAACTTTACAAAAAAAGATCACAGGTTAAATATCTTTTCAAATTTAAGCTCAGGACAACAATGCCTTTCGAATGATATAAAAAAATTCCGTCAAAAATGTCTAGTTTAAAAGTCGAAATTTGTCAGAAGAAAAAAGCACCCCGAGCACAAATATTCCGTTACTTTCGTATCGAAAGTCGGAACAACAAGGAGTAGCCGCTTCTGCAGGAAAACTTGCGTAACCGCTCCTTTCGATTGAAATTTTCATCTCATATTTGATAGGGCAGTTTTTAAAAAATTCAAACAGTGTTTAAAAACGGTCAAATTTCAAAAAATTGCCATTCAAAACCAAAATCTTTTTTTTTTCTGTCGTGGCCGGTAAAGTAGACAAAATTCCCAATTTCTCAAAGAGTTTCTCGATTGACAACTTAACCTGAGAGTTGGCACCGTAATTTTCGAGTAGAGTAAAAAACTCGCTGAGCTTAAATCTTAAAAAAGCATGCCACTGGTTTAAAAATGAGAATACTTGGGTGATCATCACTGCTGATGCAGAGACAGAAGTGAAGACGAGGATGACGAGGAAGAGAAGAGTGAGTCATCGGGGGGAGAGAATGATGAGTCACGTGAATCGGAAGAGAAGGCAAGAGTAAGAACTGATCTGTAGCACTCATTCAAAAACATGTAATAGCTCAGTGAAAATCAAGAAAAAAGCACCAAACTGGTATCGTTTCAAAAATCATAAGAATGCAGAATAATAAATTCCACTTCTATGGTTAATCGTAAGCCTTCCGAGATTTCTGCTTTGTTTAAAAGGACGGCACTTCGGCAGGGGATTCGAAGACGAAGAAGAAGGCGAAGAAAGAGAAGAAAAAGAGCAAGAAGGATGAAAAGACAGCAAAGAACAAGACGGAGAAGACAACGAACAAGGACACAACAAGGATTGGGGGCACAACTAACAAGAGAACAGCCAGTAAGGCTACTAAGACAGCGAGGGGGGCTCAGACAGCCACTGCCAGAGGTGAGTACAGAGAAAGGGGGTGTCACTTGCTCTTAGGGGTGTGGAAATATGAAGTATTTGAATTTATTGTCAATAGATATATTTAAATTATTTAATTTAAACTGAAATATCCTAAAAAAACAAAGCTTTTTTCGTTCAATTAATTCTCGGTCAATTATTACGCTTGCGATTAGCAAGCAGCGCTACTCACGCGCTTACCGCAGGAACTTTATAGAAACGGACTATGCGAGAAATGGACACGTTAGAAACGGACTATGCTTAGACAGGCTAATTGACTTTTCACAGATCCTCTGCGAACTTAAGAAACCACAATTATTAAGACACGATGAACGTAAGTCAGACTCTTCTTATATAGTATATAGGACGCAGTAGTTTTTTCAGGAAAAGTCTTAAAATTTGTTCATGCTCAATTTTTCGCGGTTTAACTTTTGATATCTTTTTACTTTCAGTTCAATTTCCTCTGAGAGCAAACTCTTTCAAAAAAAATCTTTCAAAAGTAGGCAAACTTGTGTAAAGACAGCAACAAAAAGGTCAAAGCAACAGCACTATCGAGCAGCAAAAGTGTGAAGGTCAAGAATAACGTGATCAACTTCTAGTTTGGAAACGGGAATTTAATATTCAAATTTCCCAGCGGGATAACAAATTCACTTATTGGTCCAGTTTTCTCAGATTGGGTTAAATTATTTAAAAAGCATGGATCACAAATTGCTCCAAAAGATCAAAGAGCTTCGAGAGCAGCTATTTTTTTCTTTGAAATTCGAAATTTGAGATTTCAAAAAAAAGAATTCTGTCTGTTGGCTACGTAAAATGTTTCAAAATGTTTACGTATCTTAAAATGCACGTAGGTTGCTCCGTATACAAGAGTTTTGTTCTGTGGATAAAATATCCTTCAACTTATCATTAATGAATCGTTTTCTCGATTTTTTGAAACGGAAATTTCAATTATATATTTAATGATCCAGCAAAACACATTTTTTTGTTTTTTTTTCAGAAAATCAATTTTTCGCTTTAATATCACACCCCTACTCAACAGGGACTTATAAAGAACACAAACTAAAACGTTGTGAAATCTCATGACCAAAGCAGAAAAACCAAACGCTTAATGCGGCTAAACTATCTCAATAAATGATCGATTATTTTTTCTTATCCTATCGTGATGGGCGAAGCCAACAAAAAAACCATTAGCACATAGGGTGTTTACTTTTATAGGCACTTTCGCTGAAGCCCAAAATTTGTACATTTTTCAATCAAACTTTCCAAAATATGTACATTTCTTGTGTCTCCAAAAAAAAGGATTGAATAAAGCATTTTTCTCAAGATCAAGAAAAAATATCGAGCAGTAAATGGAATGAAACGAACAAACTTCTAGCACAGAATTTAAAAAAAAAAACGCGGAATACAAAAAATGTGCTTGGTAAAATAATTAGACCATTAAATTAAGTATTTACAGCAAATTTACAGTGAATTTATTTCAAATATGAATTACACCAGCAAAAGTAGATATTTGATAGAGTTTGATAAAATGTTACTTTGTTGTAGCTAATTCTAGGTTAAAACTATTAAAAAGAATAAGAAGTAAGATGAATTAGTCGGTAAGGTAAAACATTGAAACAATGAGAGATCATTCTCTCCGCCGGAGAGAATGGCTAATGAAGGTCATATCTAAGTGACCAGTTAATTAAGTAAGTATGTTTTGCAATAATTACAAAACCTGATGTAAAATCACAACATTCCCCTAAGCAGGAAAAAATTTAAATTGCAATATAGTAATGCACAATAACTAACTATGACTGACTCCTTTCTCCCCCTTTAAGGACGAGGGAAAAAAATTAAAGCGCCTTAAAATGAGGTACTAACACTAAGTAAAGCTCCACTAGTGTTAAATGACTGCAAGAAAGATTATCCAGATTCCGACGGATAAGAGTTATGTTAAAATGAGATAAAGGCACAACGTTTTGGCACAACGCTGAATTTAGCACAGCGTTTTATCGGTGAGGTCATGGCTTATAATGCGCTAGTAAAGAGGATATGATTTAAAGAAATTATGGGAGCGAAAGATGATGATTTCTTTTGTAGAGTGAAATTTATCCGAAGGATAAAGTTCTCGAATTTAGCAAACAGCATTTTGATAACTGGAAAATTAGCACCGGTTTACAAGATAAATTGCGTAGATAACACAAAATTTTAATGAGGGTGGACTTGGTTTGCAAAACACAAACTGAAGGGAAGGCGATTTAAAAGATTTATGAGAGCACGTGAAGATGTCTTCTTTTTACTGAATGAAAAATTTATCCAAAGGATTAAGTTCTTAAGTTTAGCGAACGGCCGTTAATATCTGAATGTTAGCACCGGTTTAATCAGTTAATGTGTGTTATTTGGTAAGCCAGAATATCAGATTAAAGTATAGCTAAGTGGTTATAAAGTTTTGTAGTCTTTTAGAAAGTTTTCGAGTTCAGTGTTGAAAAGTTCGCTATCGAGATCGGAGTGATCGCCGAAATTTGCTATTTCCATTCTCAGTGATTCGTCGGTTGATGAGGTTGACATTTGATCTGATGATGATGATGAATTTGAATCTAGAACAATTAACTCCGCCTGATTCGTCTTGTTGATTGTCTCATGTGGTTTCTCAATCTCTATTACAATAGGCTCGGCCGCAGAACCAGAGGCTTCTTGGACGCTCTCTACGGCATCAATAAAGTAAAGTTGACCATAAAATTTTGGTGGGCCGACATTTCTACTAGAACGACGGATGGTAGGAGAAATTTTACCGGGTATTACGGCAGGACTGTTAGGTATAGCACACTCATCCGTTGAGTCACTTATCTCGTACACCGGGAAGTCTGTGGTTGAGTCGGTCTCCGTCGGATTATGCTCAACTTGTAGGTATTTTTGTCCAATGGTGTCGTTTTCCCCTCCCTGATTTGCGGTTCTCTGATCCGCAGAGCTAAGTGTTCGGCTGGAGGGCACTATACTTATTGGGCACTCATATGATTGATCCATGGGTTGTTCACTGTTTGGGAAACTGTCGTTTTCTAAAATCTCAGATTTTATTTCAGGATTGGTTATAGAGGAATTAAAATTGTTTCCGATTGAGATGTGAGGTGTAAGTGAGTCTGAAATAAAGCGCTCTCTGGCTACGTCTCTACAAGGGAAACCGCCCGCTATCCATTCCCATTCACTAGTATCCGAAATATCCGAAGGAATTAGCATAGATTCATCCAAAGCGATGTAACCTGGAGGAGTTGGTGACTTCTTTGAGCGTCGTTTCTGTCTTCTTGTGGGGATGAATGATGACCCAGATATGCGTGTCCTAGTTAGGTTGTCGGATGATGTCGGGTCTAATTGTATGGTCCTTCTTTTTGTTGACTTCTTGGGTTTTGGTTTTCTTTTTGAGCCTTCCAGTTTCTGACCTACTTCAACATTAGGATAAGGAAAGTACGGGAATTAAATGTTTCCTCTAAAAGGTCTGATTTTATTTGAGGTAGAGATAGGAATCGCAAGGTCGGATTTTCGTATTATTTTTCCGTCGGATAACTTAACTGTCGAAGTAGAAGAATTTATAATTCTTTTGTTTAGTTCTTTATAAAAAACAGTCTCGGTTGATATTACCGTTAGTTTTCCGAAGGATTTCACCTTTGAAAGGACTTTTGATTGGTATTCTGTTTTGAGTCATTTTCGAGGATGAAGCATAGTCTGTATCGTAGCCTTTTTCAGTCGGATTTTGGTTCTTCTTCGCAATCAAATCGTCCTTGTATCCGTCCTCTATTCTATCATTCGCGTTCCAATCCTTAGCTCGATCCTTAGACAATATTGATTTCCCTTTGTCTAAGATTCCAAAGGAGGGTTTACCCGAAGCTAATTGTTTCCAAATAGTATTTGGTTTTCTGTTATAGTGGATCTCGAAAGGTGAACATTTAATTTTTGATTAGAAGGTAGAACGTAGGTTCCAAATGATTTTTGAAACGGCATTTTGCAGTGTGTTTTTATGATGTTCTTTTGAAATAGCCAGTAGTTTGACTTTCACAGTGTGTACTAGTTTTTCGACTATTCCGTTGGAACGGTGATCGCCTACTGTACAAAAGATTATTTTGATGTTGTTGAAATCGCAGAATGATTTGAAGTCTTGACTTGTAAAGCAAGTAGCATGATCTACCCTCATAATTTAAGGTATCCCGTGTAAGAATATGTAGTCTTGTAAAAATTCTATAACTGTTTTTGAAGAGGTAGATGATGTAATTTTTGCCGACGGAAATTTAGAAAATCTGTCAATGCAAAGTAAAATGTATTTATTTGACCCCCAATAAGAATCCAAAGGACCCGCGAAATCTAAATTAAGTTATTCATTCGGTTCTGATAATGGAGGAAGTTCACTAATTTGTGAATTAGGAATAACAGTTTTTATATTCTTACCCGCCGATGTACACTCTGAGCAATTAATTCCATGAAAGTAGATTTGCCTGTTAATATGCGGCCACCAAATGTATTGGGCCAAATATTTCATTCCGAATTGACCTGGATGATGTGTTTCGTGGAGGGTCTTCATCATCGCGTTTCGTAGGGTAAATGGAATAACGAGTTCGCCGTCCATGTAAAGTAATCCGTCGGATTCGTGAAGGTCTCGGGTGAAATGTTTGAAATACGAAGAATCTGCATTAATCTTCTCCACCTTATTTTGAAGTGCTTTAACAATAGGGCTTAACATGGGATCGTCTTCTGTCAAAAGAGCTACTAACTTGGCGTTAAATAAAATTTTTAAATCCAAGGGTCGATCCGGCAACTTTAAATTTTCACGGTATTTTTTAACGAGATTGATATGATCTGGTAAAAGTTGGAAGTCTAAATCTACGGAAATACCGGAAGTGGTGGGATTAATTACAATATTCTTATTATTCATATTAACAGTATCTACAATTTTTTTATCTACAGGTGAATTAATTAAACTACGATTAAGGATTAAAAAATAAAGAAATGCGGAGTTGGAAATAGAAATAATTAAAGTA